AAACCCCCCACAACCCCGCACCCCCTCCAGTGGAAAAGGAAAGCTCAAGCCAAGAAAAGCTGCACTGTATGTTAAGGAGACAGATTGCGAGGATGTGATTCTCCCATATACATGTGTCTGTCTGTACACTTGATCTTCGACGAAAGGCCGAGAAAGGTATTATGTACACATATATCTCGGGGTTCTCACAGGAATCATGTGTTATATAAGCAACCTATTCCCTCGACTGTTGCATAAGCTCAAACCACTGCGTGAAGGAAAACCAAGATTATGATCATTACTCACGTTATCAAACAATAATTCAGAAATTGTAAAAGAAATCTCAAAATGAAAGCAAGTGCTTCAATATTGTATTTACAGTCACCTGTCTTAACAAATCAGCAAGCGTCCTAGGAAGTGCTTCAATGTTTTTGAGCACAACATAGTAAGGGAATGGGAACGAATCCAAATACTTTGTAAGCTTAACTTCTCCACCCTGAAAGGTAGCTTCCTGGAAAAGAGTCAAAGAATCAATCACGCTGGGAACTTTTCTTATTTCAAAAACCATGAAACAAACAAGATAAAGGACCTAATGAAGAAAAAAAACAGTGGTTACCTCAAGGTCCAGTATGGATTTCTGTAGGCTATCCACCACAAGAAACGCGACCATTCGCTTTTTGCTCAAGAGATCTCTGACATAGCGTTTCATGTTCTCCTAGAGTAAAAGTAAAATAAAATGAGTATAAGAAAGATAGCAACTTCACCGACACTTGAGCAAAGAAATTTACCTTCTCATGAAACCAGCCGTCAGCTATTATCAAAACGAGCTGCTCTAGCGGATTGTGCCCAGATGGTAGCCGTGCATTAACAGCAGCGGCATCGAGCATGTCATTCAAGTACTTCAAAAGATCAACCATGGGTTCCTCTGCTATTGTGTTTTCTTGCTTAAAAGACAAACTAGAGATCATCTGTATATAAGGAAAACATAAGAATATATCGCTCAACTTTTTATCAAAATAACTCAAGCAATAGCTGGGACAAATGGTAGAAGCATGTATGTGCGAATATAGACGGACCTTAATACCAGCCTCTCCAGTGAATGACTGATCAAAATCATGCAATATGCGAATGTTTCCCTTCTTACCAAAGCTGGCAACTGACAGCTGTCCTATTTCTAACTGAGACATTGCACGGCAAACAGTCACCAATGCTTCAATGGCTAAATGTCCACAACCACTCTCAGACATGCTGCGGGAGTCATCCACAGCAATAACCACTTGGTAGTTCCGTTTGTTAGGCCGAGTTCTCCTTAGCCATATCTTATCTTTACGGTAATGACTTGCTATGTATGGAATTACCTGGCAATAGATAGTACAAGATTAGAATATTATTCCTTCCAATAAAAAGGAAATATGAATAACTAAAGATTACCTTCTTCATGTTAATTCTTTTCCCGGTCTTGTAATCTCCCTGGAGCTTGCTAGCTAAAGTCGGTTCCATTACCAAACGTAACTGTTCAGCCAACTCCTGGGACAACCTCGTAGTGCGAAGTTCATAATTTTTCCAGAGAGTTGCAGCATTCTTTCTCATCTCATCAGATACCTCTTCAAGGTTATGGGCCTTGCCTAGGTCGTCATCATCTACCGAGAGCTCGCTAAGCCGATTTATGTCCTCCACCAAAAAGGTCCTCTTCACTGAGACCAAACTCTGAGACAAACTAGTGACACCAGTATCATCTCTAGCATCAACCTCTGATGGTGATTCAGGTTGCTCCTCAGTGTCCATTATCTCTGATTGCTTGCCCTTGTCATTGCAGAAACTTAAAGTGGAATTACTAATAGTATGTGCTTCAGACAGCTGCCTCTCAATCTCCATTTCAGAAATGTCATCTTTTCTCTCTGTAGTTGCATTTTCCCCTTCAAGATCGTTTCCATGTACATTTTTGTCTACTTGATCAGCAGTTGCTGGCCCAAGCGCTTGAGCTGTTCCCTTTTCAAATTCAGCAGTATATGAATATTCATTTGCATTTTCAGCAGCCATATCATCTGGAGCTTCGCTCTCCTGTAGGTCAAGTGAGACTTTGACTCTATCTTTCCATCCCTCGAGGGCATCACCCACACTACGACAAGGATTTGGCTGAATCCGTTGGTGTGATGAATCAGCTGGAGGTAAAGGATTTTCAGGTTGATCACTGCCCAGCTTTTGGTCATTTGAAGAATCAGAAGCCATGATTTCAACCATAGAGGCATCAGGCAAACCTCTCATGGGAGCAAGGTCATGTTGAGGCCCACCAACATCAGATCCCTTCGCTTCAGGAGCTGCATCTTTCAAATTTGCTTGATTATACTCACCTCTAGGCTCAGATGCAGACACAGCAGTTGGGACATTATCACTCACAGAATGAGATGTGTCCGACTGCAGGATCTCTCTATTTTGTGCTGCTGGTTCCTTTTTCGTGTCATCTGCATGATCACCTTCTTCATCAGCTCCTCCAGGATTTTCATCCAAATGCTCAGGGTCCGCCTCATCAAAAGTTGCATCTGAATCAGCTGTTTCACCCCCCTCATTCTTTTCCTCAGCAGGGTCACCTTGCTGGTTTAAATCATCTTCCACCATCGGTTCAGCACTCTCTGGTTCATCCATATTACAATCCTCTTCAGGACCTTGATCATGTTCGTCAGGCTTTAATCCAGTAGGATCTGCATATGCATCCTCTTTGTCCATATTTATGTCTTCCATCCCTTCGCAAGTTTCATCATTGCCATTTTCATCAGCTTGCTCCTCTGATATGTCGGGATTGAGTTCTCCTGCTTCATCAGCATCATCCTTTGCTCGAAGCTCTCTGTTGATACCGCTGTCTTTTACTGATGGACCACTCTCATACTTTTCATCCATGGTACTGGGATTATCATCACCCTTGTCCCATAGTTTCTCATCAGCTACTTCACCCCGATCACCAGTCTCCCCCATAGCAGATTCCAGTTCTTCATTTTCTTCATTGCCTTCTTCATCATCCGCAGAATCCTCACTTACACTATAGGTATCAGCAGCAAAATCTTGCTCCATCTCAATTCCTTTGTCAGTTCTATTTGGAGCCTCACCAAGAGTACTTTCTTCATCTCTCTACAAAAGCAGAACCAAGAAGGTGTGATCCATACCATTGCTTTTATTGTAAATTAAAGAGAAACAGATTGGAAAAAAGGGAGAAAAATGTAAGCAAGAGATAATTGGTATGCTTGTCATTTCTTACATCAGCGGAAGTGCCAATAAGCTGATCTTCATCATTTATCTGGTCGCTGACATCGTTCATTCCACTACCCTCACCCATACCTGTTCCACTTTGATCTTGAACTAAATCCTGGTTGGCATCATTTGTGTCCTCTTCTTTTGTACCAAAGCCTTTAGCAAATAGCGAAGTAAAAACGTTTGCCAGCACATGGGTCATCACAGATAGCTGTCAAAATCATTGAGAAAAGTTTAGAAATAATGATTTGCGAAGCAAAGTAGATATCAAAACAAAAGTAGTCTTGCAGATACAGTCTTCGCTAATGTCTTCTAGTCCAGAAAAGTGTCTGAACCAGTATGCGTAAAACTGATTTTATTAGTAAACTAGTCCAGCTGCTTAATTGGATGTGCGTGTTCTTGATAAATAATCCAGTCCCACTTGGTGAAAGTCAACCTAGCTATCTTACATAACAGAGGAACTCCCCATTTCAAAAAGTCCTTTTGCTCTTCACTGATATGCTAAGTTCGCATAAACATAGGATATATAGTAACACATTCTTACTACCTGCACACGGTACCATCGATACTTTATTACCTTGTAACCGATAGAAATCCTTATAAAGGTTGATCTGAATGGATGACAATCTTATACTGTCTTTTTGAAGCATACCAGACTCCGAAACTAACACCAATTGGACAACACTAAGACAAACTAGACATATCTTTCTTTCCTATGTAGTAGTTTAAGCTTTAGATACTCATGTCTACTTTGAACTCATTCTCAATAACACACATACCCATATTACCTCCTAATTCTTTTTTTGAGAAGGATACCTCCTAATTCTTTTATTGGCATATAAGTATTTTAAGAAAGGTTGAGGCTTTTATAGAAGAAGAAACTCAACGAAAATAATATACAAAGCAGCCCTAATTAAAGCAAGAGGATGAATCTTCTGATAGATTCAGATGTTTAGTATTTTTCTTATTTCTTTTATCAGTACCCACTCACAAGGATTTCTTAAAGAAAAAGAAGTGCACACCCTCAGATTATTGCAGTTTAACAAATGCCTGCTTTTGACTGCATCTAATCCAACATCAACACTGATTGAAAACCTTGGATCCTACATGAACCAGTCAATCTGGCCATGAATCAACACATCAAGCAGATAACCAAGAACAAGGACAGGCCTCTGCAAAGAACACTTATCATCCTATGCATGACAAGAAAATCATGCAGAAGACCATCATATAAGGCAAACATAACATCAAAGAACGAATACAGATTTTTCTAAAAGGGTGCTATGGGAAGAAAATTGATCGGAAGAAGCACACCATGTATTGACCTTAAGCACAAAACAAACAGAACCAGAACCAGGACGGGACAATCAGGCAAAACTTACCATTCTATGCATGATAAGAAAATCATGCAGAAGACCATCGCCGAAGGCAATGATCACATCCAACAATGAATACAGATTTTCTACGTGTGCCCTGACAACCGAATAGGAACTCGCATTTCCGGTGCTGTAATAGTTCAATAACTCTCCCTGAATAAAAATGAGAGAATCAGAATTAGAAGCTGGTATTTGTACCTGACATATAGAGTGAATAAGATCATATATTACTTACCCCAAGATGAATAGTCTTCACCAATTGATCACTAAGGTCTGATTGTAGATGCCTTGTTGCTGACTCAAGGAGAATTTTCCATGCATTGATATTCTCTTCATCAGGAGGAACACGACCATTCGTCAAAGGCACAAGACCATTCAAAGTGCTTATGATAGCTCTATATGTATTCTCCAAGGTGTTATAAAATTCAGCTTGAAGTCCAGTGAAATCTCCCGTATATTGGATGGAATCTTGGGCCCTATCTTCAAATGTGTTTCTTGCTTTAAATTGATTATGTATGAAGTTGGTCTGAAAGGTTAAAAGTTCCGATCATTGGAAAACGTTGTGCAGCAAGTAATATATGCAACTTTAATCTAAATATCAACATTAAACACTTGAGAATTATTTGATGACTTGTCAGCAAAATCAGTTTATGGTTCTCCAACTGTTTAAAAGTTACTGTCAGTAAAGCATAGAGCATTGTGAGACCTTGTCAAATATCTCCTCAAAGTGCCCAAGCAGGATATCCTTAACAGCTGCTCCAGCTCCATCTCGACTATGGAAAGCACTATAGTCAACCTCAAATTCTTTGACTAAATCAAAATTTTTATATACCAACTGCTCCATGTGCTTCGTGATGGCAATAGGATGCAATGCATTTTCTTCTGTTCTTCTAACTCCGTGAAAGTCAATAAGATGACCATCCAACAAATCCTGCCATATATTCCCATAACTAGTTAGTGCAACTGATATCTGTACAGCATGTCCGAGTGTAGTAAGAACCAGAATGGACAGAAATCTGTTTTACAAGGGACAAATAAAAGAGTCTGAAACCTTAGATTCCTTAACAACGGGCAAGTGTTTCTCAATGAAAAGGCGAATCTGCATTGTGCTGTCTTTAACACTTGAACAAGTATTCAAATGGCTATCTTCAACAGTTTGTACAAACAAGCGCTCTTCATACAACATGCCATACAAATTATCAAAAAGTTGCTGCAAAATTAAAATTAAACTTTTAATTAACCATCAAAATGAGAAGAGAGGTAATTTAAACTCAGACAAACAAGTTAGCGTACCTTCTGTTGCCATAGACACTCGTATATGCTGTACTGATTTTTGGCAAATGACCGATCACTTCTCACATTTGTGAAAGGGATAACACCAGTAGTTAAGGTTGCTAAAGGCAATAACAATTCTTTCAAACATTTGAGTCGCTGAGAAAAAGCATAAGCAACCTCCCGCTGCTCTTGTTGAATGCTAGTGAGGTGGTCAATGTAAGATCCTGACTTATTAACCTGCATTACAAGATAGTAAGACTATAACCAAGAATAAGGTACAAATGCTAAAACAAAAATAACTCAAAGCAAACAAATAACAAAACGAGCACGTAAATTATAAGAAGGGAATGTTTTACATGGGGTTTTACATGGGGTTTGACCAGTGTTTAAAAAAGCGCTCGCTTCATCGCTTTAAGCGAGAAGCGAGGCGAAGCGTGAAAGGCAGCGCTTCAGCTTGCTGAAGCGACTCAGGTCAGTAAAAGCGACCGCTTCTCTGTAAAAAGCGAGAAGCGGGGAAAGCGAAGAGAAGAGAAGAAGCGTCCGCTTCTCTGTATTAAAATACCCAACCCTATTTTATTAAAAACAAGTTTTTTGGATTAAACACTGATCTTCAACAACAGCGACTAGTATTCTTCAACTTCCAACAGCAGCGACTTCTTCTTCATCTACTTCTGATTTCTGAAAGAATCTCAAATCATCAACTAGGGTTGTTCTTCTTCTTCTTCAACTTCAAGACTTCAACAGGTATGTTCTGAACTTCTGATTTTCATTCTTCCTCTTCTTCTTCTTCTTCTTATTCTTTTTCTTTCTAAACGTCCAAAAAGCAGCGAAATGCTGGCGAATTTTTTCCAGAATTTTACTGCCCAATTTTTCCAGTTATTAACAGAGAATTCCTATGATTTTTTATATCCTTTATTCTTAGTTCTTACTGCCTTATGTGTTATGTAATTGTTCTTTTAATGGCGCCAAAAGAAGATGGAAAAGATCCGGCTTGGGCTTACTCTGAAAGAGTTTGCGAGACCAACAAGATGGCAATTAGATGTCTTTTTTGTGACAAGATTTCAAATGGAGGAATCTATCGTCAAAAAGCGCATCTAATCGGCGGTGATCCAAATGTCGCATCTTGTCCTAAAGTTCCGTCGCATGTGAAGGAAGATTTGAAAGCATTCCTTCATAAAAAGAGAGAGTTAAAGACTCAACTGATTCATGAACAAGAACTGTATAATCTTGATGACGATGATGAAACAGAAGAAGGTGACGATGCTTCGTCGCTTCCACCAAAATCACAAAAGCGGGGAAGGATGCAACCAATGTCTTCTAGTTGTGGATCTACTGGCAAGACCAAAGGTCCTATGGATTGTTACTTCTCGCAAAAATCTGGAGATAAGGAAGGAAAAAGTGGTAATCCTCAAATTGATGCCAAAACGATTTTGAGGGATCGTGCAATTACAATGTTTGCGCGGTGGATGTATGATGCAGGTCTTCCTTTTAATTGTGTTAATTATACTGACACTTTTTCTGCTTTTATTGAGGTCGTAGGCCAATATGGTCCAGGAATGAAGCCTCCAACATATCATGAAGTTAGAGGGCCATATCTAAAAAAAAGAGGTGGCAGAGGTGAACAAAATTGTGAAGGAGCACAAAGTAGAATGGAACAAGTTTGGTTGTTCCATTATGATGGATAAGTGGACGGCGAGAAATGGAAAAATGATCATCAATATCTTGGTGAATTCTCCTAAGGGAAGTCTGTTTCTTGAGTCCGTTGATGCAAGCGACTCTTCGACTGATTCACCCAAAATGTACTCCTTGTTCAAGAGTACAATAGACTCTATTGGAGCAGAAAATGTTGTTCAAGTTGTCACGGACAACGCCAGTGAAAATGTTAAAGCTGGCGATTTGATGTTTGCTGGGTACCCGCATATTTATTAGACTCCGTGTGCAGCACATTCCATTAATTTGATCTTCGGTGACATTTTCAAGGAAAGACCCTTTAGTTCAATCTTTAATCAGGCAATTAGAGTGCATTCCTATATTGTTCAAAGGCCTTTGTTATTGAATATGATGAAGAGATTCACTAAACAAAGAAGCTTGGTGAAACCCGCAAAGACAAGATTTGCTACTGCTTTCTTGACTTTGCATAGGATGTATGAGCAAAAAAGCAATTTGAAGAAGTTGTTTGTTTCAGATGAGTACACTAACAGTGCCTATGGAAGGGAAGCTCGAGGGAGAGAATCTGCAGATATTATACTTTCTCCTTCATTCTGGAACAATGTGGTTCATGCATTGAAGATTGGTGGTCCTTTAGTTAAAGTGATTCGTTTGGTGGATGGGGAGCAAAGGCCACCAATGGGCTACCTGTACGAAGCAATGGATAAGGCAAAGGAGGCTATTCAAGTCTCGTTTAGCGATCAAAGAAAATACAAAAGAGTCTTTGAGATCATAGATAAAAGGTGGGATAGTAAGCTTCATAGCCCTTTGCATGCAGCTGGACTTGTTTTGAACCCGGAACTGTTTTATGACAATGAAGAAAGGATTCTAGGAGATGAACCTTTGTGGAATGGATACTATGAATGTATTGAGAAGTTGATACCTGAAGAATCCGTGCAAGATAAAATAACAGAGCAATTTAGTATTTATAGGAATGCTGAGCAACTTTTTGGAAAAAACATGGCGATTAGACAAAGAAAGACGAAGTCACCAGGTGAGCGAGTGCTTATATGTTGTTTTATAGTTAATAAGTTATTTCTTTATCAATATTATGTTTTGAAAATTTGTTCTACTTCTACAGTTGAATGGTGGAAGCAATATGGCCATTCCACTCCGGATTTACAAAAGTTTTCCATCAAGGTTCTAAGTCTAACATGTAGCTCATCCGGGTGTGAAAGGAATTGGAGCGTGTTTGAACATGTAAGAACTAAGAAGAAAGATTTAGTATATTGAGATAATTAAATTATATCTCAATTGTCCTAATCTTACTAATTACTTATTATTTGCAGATTCATACCAAAAAAAAGGAACAAACTAACCTTGAAACGTCTCAATGATCTAGTATTCATTAAGTACAATAGAACATTGAGGCGTCGTTACAACGCTCGCAATGTAATTGATCCAATTAGTTTGGACAACATCGATGATGCTAATGAATGGCTAACTGGAGTCCCGGAAGATCATGCAGATGAAGAAGTATTTGAGGAAACTTCTGATTTCACTTGGGGTGATGTTGCGGAGGCGCGTGGAATTGGGGAGAGGATTTATGGTTTGAGAGGGAGTACCTCAACTTCAAGTTCACAGAGGAAGGGAAAAGAGGCAGCTACTTTGTCCCTAGTTGATGAAGAAGAAGAAGTTGAAGAAGATGACGAGCAATATAATAATGATAGTGGAATACAAGAATTTGACAATCTTGTAGAAGAATAGGATGCTCATTTTGTGCTTTAATTGATGCCACTATTTAGTTTTTACATTGAAGTATTGAACATTTGCTTACAATTACATGTGTTGTCTATGCAATATTTATTTATTCATTTTTTTTTAAATTTCGCTTCACTTCAAAAAAGCGAGCGCTTCGCTTCTCGCTTTAAGCGAAATGGGGTTTGTCGCTTTTTCTCACTTCACGCTCTTCACAACACTGGGTTTGACATCATTAAAATCAACAACAGCTCAGTCCAAATTAGTTGTAATCAGCTTTAAGAATACGCTGCATCCATTACACACTATTTAGGTACTTCAGCAGTCGGGATTCATCATAGTTAGATATTTTGTGTATGCTGGCTTCAATCTATACAACTCTCCTCCTTTATTCGTTTTGTCCAGAAAGAATTAAATTTAATCAACCAAGATAGTAGAATTGACATGAAAGTCTCATTTTTTGAGTAACATCTTAACTATGTTACCTGCTCAAGAGTAAAATCCTTATGGAAACTCAGGCAAATTTGCTGCAAAACATGCACGGAGTTGATGCTCTTAAAATAGTACAGGTTGGCTGCTTTCCATTTGGTTTCCAAACTCTCATCTAGTAAACTCTGCAGCTGTCTGCTACTAACTTCAGAATCTCTAGAGGCTGGTAGACCTTGTGTTAGCAGCAGATGTTGAACATCATAAGATGGCTGGAGGAACCAGCACATTAATATATTGACTCTCCATTGCTCCTGTACACAATGAAAAGAATATCAGAACAAGATCTAGAAGAGATCAAAAGCTCGAAATGAAAATTTACAACAAAGAAGAATTTCAGTTGAAATGAAAACTTGGATGATCCTGTTCAAGTAAGGTCATGAAAAAAAAGACTTGGATGAAGAAATGATGGCGAATAAGGATAGGAACATATTATCGGAAGACCATGGACTAAATTATATTTACCTCCATAAACAAGGCTCTGTGCTTTGATAGACCACAGCTATCCAACAGCTTCAGAAGATCTGAGAATACTCTTCTCTTCCCCATTTTCTTGCTTGCATCCGCCCAAACATCTACGCAGTCTATAATAGTACTACATATTTTGTCAATTGTTTGCCTGAGTTGCTTCCACTCATCCAGGTATAACAGGCATGAGGACTTGAAGCACTGACCATCCTTGATTACACCTGCAACCCCTGATTTATTTTGAAGTATGCAACTTTCAGAATCTTCAACAAAAGGAAATAGGGAATGCTATGCCTGAACCAACACACTTAAGGAAAAGAAGAGAATAAACCTTCTATGATCCTAGACAGATCAGTATCTCTTGACACGTCGAGGTGCAAACCTTGTACGACATTCTCTACTTTCTTCCACCAATCAGAAAACCATGAAGGGCTGTTGTTGAAAACCAGGAAGTTAATAAGACTCAAAGAAACTAATTAATAGACATCAATATGGAGTCAAGACCACCTGTCCACTTCTGACTGCTTCTGATCGAGGACAATATTTAGAAGACCCCTGCTCCTTTCAAAAGAATCAACCGAGAGACTAGGCTCATTACTTTGAGGGTGTATCCCACTTTCTGTTGCTTCTTGGTTGATAAAAAGCATAACAGGTTGCTGAAGCAGGTCCTACATAAATAAAGCAAAACGCATGAGAAATATTTACATAAGATTAATTATTTTAATTGGCAACCATACCACAGGTAGTTGCTTTATAATGTTGAGATAATTTGATTTGGCAATTGTATTCCATGTACACAAGCTCAAAAATAAAATTAAAAAAATTAAATACCCAAAAAAAAAAAGGTAGCAAGAAATAGTTAGAAAGTTAAGTTTAGTTGCATAGCTGCGTAGCAGAAAATTGACATCATAGTCTGCCCCAAAAGTAGATTTTAAAGTGCAAGATGGTGAAATACAAAATCTGAGTAATGGGTGCTTAATTGAATGTACAAGTAGAAAGTTGACACAATAGGAAATCCTCAGGCAAAGCTATCTAAACTCAAGCCAGAAGGACACGCCTAACACAGGTTTATTCTAAGGCTGTCCAACGGGACGGGCCCGTCCCGCGTCCCGTCCCACTTAATCCTAAACGGGATGGGCCCATGTTAAACTGGACACGGGATGGCCATTTCGTCCTGTTCCGTCCCGCGTCCTTTTTTTTTTTTGAATTATAGCTGTTGGGCAACGGCTTCAATTGCAAAAATAGCCATTCCCAACAACCAAA